AATCATGGACATTTGAGTATAATTACACAGCAGGTAGGAAGTAAACTTACTTGTTCAGTTAAAATAAAACCAATAAATGCCAATGAGTCTCGATGTCATATCCACTAGTTTAGGACTTGCAACAGCTCAAATCCTGCTAGATACATAAGCCAAAATGGAACTGCTCCACAGAATGAGACAATACGAAAAATAATGTAGGAAAAGCTGGTGACATGGCAAAAGGTGGGAAATGAGCCATAGGCATGTGATACGAGACAAAAATGCAGAGAGGATGTCCACCTACCACAACTGCCAGCAGTCATTGCAGTATCACTAACATGTGAAAACTGAGTACCTAGATTTAAATCAAAGACAATCAAAATGATATAATCAAAACATAAACCATAAACATCATACCAGCAGTGTGAGGGTGCTTACATCCTCACAGCTGAGAATCCTGGAAGGGGGCAGTATCTTCTTCACGTCTCAAAAATCTTCTTCACGTCTCAAAAATTCTCTTTTCAGCATATCCTTGGTCTTCCTTACATATTTCACCTTCTAAGATTAAATTTCTGTGCTGTTGTCAACCACCTGTTTTCACCCATTCTATTTACACCACCTTAATAAGGAAGAAGTGGTTGCAAGGAATGATGATGCTGGCAGTAGTGTGGCAACTAACAGGTGTAACATTTGACAAGCTGAAGTGTCACTAGAGTAGAGTCTCAGGTAAGTTTAAAGGTCTTAAAGTGGCAGTCACACAGTCAAACAGGACTGTAGAAGTCAATGTAGTTACCATTTTCTAAAGACACCCTTATAACTTGTTCGGTAAATATTATTAAAGCTGTGGTTCATTTTGTGAAGTGTTGGTATCTCTAAATCGTGGTACCATTCTTTGCATGGTGAACTTCGTGTGGCATGGGACCTGAGTTTTTGTTGAAAGTGGTTGTGGCAATGGCAGGAGTGAACTTCTTACTCATTATTACTACATATTGTATTACTTTCGTTGTACGTAAAAAAGACACTTGACACTTTGGCTATAGCATGACCTTACCTATTAGCTGCCCAATTACAGCTTTCCTTTTTCTCGAATTTTGGATGGCTGTTTGATGTCCTGAGCATCCAGAATGTTTGCTTAATTGACTTATATTGCAATCTAATGTGATATTACACACTGAACATCTTGCTTTATATTGATCTTCTGCAACACGTTCCAACCAGTCTTTGAAAGTGTCTATTTTCAACCATTCTTCAGAGAAAGTTTCAGTTTCATTTTCTATGGATCCCATTGTTTTCAAACTTTTGGAAACAGTGTGTATTTTGAAAACTTTGCTCATGTTTTGAATTTGCCAACCCACGAAACTACAATCCCCACAAAAGACTTCAAATTTCTCTTCCCATACAGTATACTAATAATGGAGGACAGTTTTTCTCGCTGCTTTCCATTCAAACTACTAGTTTGGAGTTGGTTATGGTGCTTACAGAACAACCAACATTACACTATTTCATACTGGGAGGGGGAAATGAAAATCTATTAGAAATTAAAATAAGGGTAATATTTTATATTTTATATGATGCAAGAAAACATAAAAGTGTAGAGCAACAGATTTAAGCGATCATCCAAACCATTTCTTTGTTATTGTGGTCTTCTAAGTTGTGACGTCGTGTTTTGTTATCTGTGATCGTGAACGACACGTTACTCCGATGTTGGTAGTCAGAAGTAACCGGAACTACCAATAAGAAATATACTGTCTCACCTCAAAGGAAGGGATGCTTTGATTATAAGGCGAACTCCAAGTCTCAGACATTTCATTTATACAAACAAAGTCGATGCAGTAATGCAAATGCTACATTGTAGTAGCAAATAGAAGTACTTAATGATGTTTATAAATATAATAGTATTAAATATAAACAATTGCATTAATTTTCTTTAGGATCTGGGGATCGGTGTTGGTCGTAGAACATCAGCATCCCGACAGAAAAACATTCTTATATCTGATTATTCCTATTGTCGCCAGCATTCAATTGGAATGGGATCATCTATAAGTAATCGACCAGACTACACAGCGCAACAACCCAGAAGACGGAAATCTTCAATCGACCTGAAAACCCTGGAAAAGTTACGGCAACATAACTGAAGAAGCTCCGTTGCGCACCTAACTAAAACTCCACGTATCACACATACCAACTTTGTTTTGTTGACGATATTCCTGTTTTCTGGGCGCCTACTTTGAGCACTAAGTTTGCTACCGTTCGCATTGCCATCTGATGACAAGAGCGAAGCACTCATCTTTACCTGTATCACATACCATGGGCCTCGGGCTCCCAAGATAATTGTGGATATTGGGAAATTGTGCCTGTGCATAATCGTTTGGGTTAGCGTTCAGAGATGTCAGGACAGTTACATTCAGTGTATATGCTAGTGCTACTATCTAGCGAATAACTGGATCGGTTAGGACGCTGCTGTTAACCATTATTCTGTATTCAGTTTCAACATGGCGTTTAATGGTGAGGGACCATTGATAAAGCGGCAGCGAACTGATATTGAATCCGGCCAACACAGGGTAAGTTGTTTAGAAGTTTGTAATGTGATGATTATACAAGCACATTTCTCTGTTTGATTTAATTTACTGTATGTTTTGCATTAACATGGATAGTGATTGGCGTCTCATGATTCCGGCGCCATTAAGTTGATGATTAATTTGTAGCGGTGTTTGTAAAATGTTTTTAATTGCCGGTACCATTTACCTGACAGGAGTTACTTGATAATATCCGGAATCTACATTGTTTTCCTATAGCGAATTACTGTTTTATTGCATTGTAAAGTTAAGAAGTTCGTGGCTGTCTAGTGTATAGGGAGTTTTGTAGTGTCTTGTGAAATTTGGTATTATTCGGTATATAATCTGTTTGTTGTAATTTCGAAGTAACATGTTGAAAGAAAGAGCATCGTCAGTGAGAAGTTATATACAGACCTTTCCGTCATGATTACTAAGTTTAGGAATCAGTTCCTGGGTAATTTCCATGTTATTTCGTATTATGTTGTGGAGATCCACGTGTAACCATTTAAATCTCATTAATACGAGGTTTGTGAATTATATGCGTGTATATATATGTTTGGGTTAGAACCTATGATAAAAGTGAATCTAAATAGGGTTTTCTGGCCATTCTACTCAGCGACCCTCTCAATTTCTGGGATGGAGCTTGATCAGTATTCTGGCCAGAATGTTGACAACCTGCAGCTGGATACAAGTGGCCCTGTGTTCTGCCACAGCAGACTTCTGCCCCACCACCACATTAACTACCACTTCTTAGGTTCTAATGGAGATATTTTAGTTTCAAACTGTTTTGTAGTGATTTGCTTGTTACTTGTTAAATAATGTTGGTTTTTTCATAACATTTTGAACGTGTTTCTTTTTTAGTCATCTGAATTCATTAATTTTATTTTCATTCAATGACTGTGTGTTTAGAAAATTATGAACATGCGAGTGGATGATCATGCAAAGTTTGTATTAGGTTTGAATAAATACATGGCATCTTTATGTATATCTTCTGATGTTTACTTTTATTGTTTTTAAGATATTTGAAGGTGTCTTATTTAACAGCTTTTGTGTGTAATTAGTTTGACTTGATTGTAGCACCTTTGGCAGTTTAGTATTCATGTGCTAATATAAAGCAGTGTTGTTAAACGTGGTTTATTTTGATAATTTATAATAAGTTGTTAAAATACTCCCAAATATTCATGTATGTTCTTTTAATGTGTGTCACATTGATTCTCTTGTCATTTTATTTTTCAAAACCACAACCTGAAAATGTAAAAGATATGCTTGTTACGTGATGGACAGCATTGTGGGAATGTTCCTTTCATTTCCTTTTTATATTACAAATTTTAGCCTCCTGTATCTCTGTTGCCATTGCCCTCAGTACTTAACATTGAAATGTGCACTCATTATTTATCTGGTACAAAGTAATGTGAATCGTGGTTATAATTTCTTATTGAAATTTTTCTTTTCGTAATTTCTGCGTCCTTTGGGCTGTGCTGTTTACAACAACACGATAATTATTACATGGGAATTACATTCCCATTTGAAATAAAATGTAAAATCCAGCCTTTGCTAATGCTCATGTTTCTGATTTCTAAATGCATGGCGTAAAAGTACAATAGTACTTCCAAGTTGAATTCCGTTATATTTTTATTTAGTAGGTAATGCCTCAGAATCTATTAATTTCTGGTGTATTTTGATGAGTGTGTAACAAACTAAGTCTTATTGAGTGTTATTTTTAGTTCTGTGATTTTCCATGTGAAACAGTTTTTTTACAATGAAAAGGACTCCCAGACAATTGAGATATGTGTGTGTGTGTGTGTGTGTGTGTAAGAAGCTGCCGTTTCTATGTAAAATTCAGTATTGTTTAGTCGAGACAAGGTTTATATGATGGAATTTACCATTGAGATGAACATGAATTATTCATTGAATGATATTTGTAGATTGAATGATTGGCTAATGAGTTTAAAATAAACTGAAACGTACAGTTTACTTATTGCTGTCAGAAAACAAAGGATCAGTTCTACTTCACTGGTGAACGCTAATTTCCATCTGTGTTTTCCATGGTGTTGTGGCTAGGCAGAATGATGCTGGTACATCTGGTGGAATTTGTGCGTATGAGTAGTGAGGATTGCGCTGTAGGGGTCTGATGTGTTTGACTCGTATTCTGAATTACCGGTTTGCTACATTGAAACATAAAAAATCCCATTTATCTTTCACCTCATATGTCTTCACTGAAGTATTCTGTTCGTGAAATATTCTGGTTTGAAAATTCATTAGTTCTGTGTTGGAGAATTATGAAGAGATTACACAACACTTGAAAGATTAAGGGAACTGAGATGAACACAAATATAAACGTAAAGATGCTTGTAGTGTATAACTAAGCACCTCACCATATAGACGTTTGGAGGAATAGCGCCGAGCATTCTTAACCTTGACACTAGATGGAGGTGGATGTTTTGAGCTTCATGCTCTGGCCCCTCTATCCCTTTGAGGAAAGAAACCTGTACCCATTGGATAGGAAGCTGGGTGTTACCCACAGCCGAACAGGACACAGCAAAGAGAAAAATCTGCTCTCGGAATGATGATGAGGAACTGAAAGAGAAGATGTTAGTGTGCTTGTGGATTCCTAGAGTTCTAGCGAAGTGGCATTTGAAATTCAAGAGGAAACCCAAGTGGCATGACTAACAAAGTAATTTTATTATTTCTATTTTATGTGCTTTGGAAGATGATGTTTTGTGAACATACTTTGGTGGCTGCTGTTAAAATCCCTCAGTATTTTTTTTTCCCCTGTGGAAAATGAAGATGGTAATAAACGTTTTAATTGTTTCCTTCATCTTTGACTTTCTGTTTAGAAGGTAAAATTTCAGACCACGTTGAAATGTGCACATAATGCCAACAAATTTTTTATGCATCAGGTATAGGGCAACTGTCATTCCACATCTGGAAGGGCTTAAGTTTTCGCCTCGTAAACAACTTTTAGGAGTGCGAAAGCTTTGTTAAAGTCACGTTCACTGATAGATGGAATGTCTGGAGGAGAGACCATCAAGCCACTCTCTTCCAATTTAATACATTTAACAATGCCAAAATTAATAAAATGACTCAAATTTGGATGAAGTAAGGAGTAACAAATATCATCTGATCACACCTCCTTCGTTTATATAAACCAGATTAATATACCAAAGCCTGGTTTACCCCTCATCTCAAGGTTCAGCCCGTTTGGGAATCGAACCACGAACCTGGGCTGGCACACGTTCTAGAATTCCCATATACGTGTATGAATAAAGAAGTCCAATGCAACCATAAAAGGAATTTGTTCTGACTGGTCACACGTCTAAAGCGTGCTTTCAGTTCCGTTCCAATTTTGTATTCAGAGAAATACTCTTATATTTGTCAGTAACATATCGTCATTTAATCAGAGGTGCCATAGTAATGTTGAAACCTCCATAGTAATGTATGTTATCGCCCTACTTCTGTGTTTTTTTTTTTGGGGGGGGGGTTAAACCACAGATTTTTGTTTACAAAAATTAGCACAACTATTTTAAGCCAGGGCAAGAAATTTTTATTTTTACTAGGAGTCCACCAAAAATTTAGGACTCGAGACAGTTTTTAGCCCTCAAGGTTTTATATTAAGTTTGGTGTTGGAATTTTTATTGAAATCTTTATCAGGCCGGAAAATTTGTTGATGTTGGGCTTATGGGTAGTAATTCAATGTGGACTGGTTGAATCATACTGCCTTAATGTGCAGGGCTAGATATGGAGGCAGCATGTTCCTCGGATGTGTTGGTGTCTACCCATAAGTCCACACCACCGTGAGAACATGAAATCTCATAAAGCCTCGGTTATTTCGGTTGAAGGTCGATTCTAATAAAAAAAAAATCTGACTGTTTCAATGCGACTTTGAAGTGAGTATTAAGAACTTCTGTGTGCATTAATTTTGTTTTAGGTTAGCCATCGATCCTTTCGAATCAGTTACGTATGAAAATACAATAATAGTTGCCATTTTTAAGTCAAGACTGGGAAGGAGGAGTCTTGTACGAAAGTCAGTTGTGGGCTCGTTTATAACACAGACTTCATAAGGAACTTTTTTTATAAAATCTATGCACGTAATCGCTTGTATGTTTTTAGTTTTATTTTTGCCCGTCTATGTAGGTGCTCTTATTGAACTGAATATTAAACTCTTGCTTCAGTAACAAATTTCAGCTTATACTTTGCACGTCTATAGGCGCTTCTAGAATTACAGACTTATTTTCCTTTTTTTACGTTAGCAAGATTTGTCTTTTTAAAGTTCGTGCATGTTACCGTCTGGCCCATAGTTCCTTCTGCCTATCGTACTTGATAAAGTATTCACCCTGTTTATTCGTGAACTAGGCCAACATTTGATCGGCGTTTAGGTTAGGTTAGCTTAGGTTACGCTACGTTAGGTTAGGTTAGGTTACGCTACGCTACGTTAGGTTAGGTTACGCTACGTTAGGTTAGGTTACGCTACGTTAGGTTAGGTTACGCTACGTTAGGTTAGGTTACGCTACGTTAGGTTAGGTTACGCTACGTTAGGTTAGGTTACGCTACGTTAGGTTAGGTTAGGTTTAGTTTGCTTTAGTTTATAGGATTTGTGGTTTCTCAAGTCTGCATTTTTTATATTCTAATATTGATTCTTATACCCGATCGATCTACAGGCTTTGTAAATTGCCTTATTATACAGGTTGGACATCTGATGAAGATCATTTGAATAACATCGGTTTATCGCTTGTCAAAGTGTTTCTCTCGTTAATTGGTGTAAGCGTTTTGCAGTAACGTACAATTTGTGTATATTAAGCAATATTAGAAACAAATTTGACAAATGTATATACCTACAGTAAAGTGACCCTCGGCTGTGTTGTTTGTGTGGTATAATCTGAATGTACAGTGACGTCATAATGCCTTTGTTCCACAAACTTATTACGCACATGCAGCGACAACCATTCAAGGGCTTCTGTCATCATATTTTAGCATGAAAGTATCAGTGATTTACTTTTGGAAGACTGTGTTTTTGGTAGGAAAATTAAAAAAAAACTTAAGGGAATTCCACGAATGGTGTTTTTGAAACCAAACGTTTTCGCAGAAGAAATAAGATTGTTATCACTTATGCTTACAAATTATCTGATGTCGTGTGAAATGGTTATTAAAATTTTCCTATCTATGGCGGTCGCTGAACCGTTATCTCCAAGAATTTTCCTGCTAGCAAATGCTCATCGACGTGATACTGCAATGTGAATTGGTTAGCTTCGTGGGTAAGAGTTTCCTTGGGAAGCTGATATTCTCTCACCTGGTAAAAATGCTCTTTTTTTTAATACGAAGGTTTATTACGTGTTCACAAGAGTCCTCCTCGGGTCCGTATCGTGAACTTCCTCAAGCCTCCCAGGTGTTCTCGTTCAAATTTTTCGAACAAGATTTTGTATGTGTTTCTTGTGTCCTATGCATGTTACATGACCGCCCATCTCATTCTTGAGTTGGACACCCAAGCGTTCTTCAGCGAAGAGTGAAAATTGTACACTGTTTTTGAAGGAACGAGACGAGTTCTATGATTTCGAATTATTGTTACAACTGTCAGTTGAGTAACGCCAGGTACTGTCTTCTTTGATTATTGTAGATAAAAAAATATACTTTCCATCAAATAATTGACGGGTGGCGGTTTCGTTTGTGACCTGGTAGAGGGGCGACGCTCCCCAGGTCCCGTTTCTGAAGTTCTCGCTGTATAGGAAATTTCTGCTCAGATGATGGATGTGTCCAGGCGCATTGGCGTGTTGCGCACGTACACACATCTTTGCAAGAGTACATCATTTTTAGGATTTGAGGTTTTCACGGCGGTGAGTCTGAAGATTGCTGAAACGTCGGTAAACTTCTACCAGACTACACGGCGTTACAACCCAGAAGACGGCAATCTTCAATACATAATTTTCTTTGCCAAGAGATTGTAAGGATTAATCCACGGTGGTCTAGCGGTTAGAACGCTGGAATCCTGGGGTCTCGGGTTCGAATTTATAAATTGTGTTGGGCAAGGCCGTGGAGTTTTCCTCCGGGGGCTTCCCCGGTTTCAATTACTCCATTCACACACAGAAGAAGGCAATGGCAAACCACTTCTGGATCATCTGCCAAGAACGTATATGAACGGGTCCAAGTCCGAGAAAAGGATGGAAGGATCCTGTTCATATGGACCTGTCGTCAGACAGAACACTAAAAAATAATAAGGTG